CTTCCAGGTAACAGTGAGGGAGCTCAGCCCAGGTGCAAGAGCTACAACTTTTCTTAAGTCCTATAAAATCATAGAATATCCTGAGCTGGAAGGGACCCATAGGGATCATCCAGTCCAATACCTGACCCTGCACAGGACATCCCAACAATCCCACCATGTCCTCAAGAGCACTGTCCAAATGCTTCTTGAGCTCTGTCAGGCTTGGGGCCATGACTACTGCCCTGAGGAGCTGCTCCAGTGCCCAACCACCCTCTGAGGGAGGAACCTTTCCCTCATATCCAGCCTAAACCTCCCCTGACACAGTTCCAGCCATTCCCTTGGGTCCTGTCACCAGTCACAGAGATAAGAGATTGGTGCTGCTGCTCCACTGCCTCTCATGGGGAAGCTGCACACCAGGGTGATTCTACCCCCAGACTCCTCTTCTCCAGCTGAATAGACCAAGTTCCCCCTGCCACTCTACATACAGCCCCTCTAGGCCTTTCACCATCCTTGTGTCCCTTCTTTGGATGCTCTCCAACAGCTTTACATCTCTCCTTACACTGTGGCTCCCAAAACTGTCCACAGGACTGGAGGTGAGGCCGCACCAGGGCTGAGCAGTGGGGACAATCCTCTCCCTCGCTCACTGGTGATGCTGGGCCTGATGTCCCCCAGGACACAGCGACCCTCCTGCTCAAATGGGTGTCACAACACTGGTTCAGTGGAGGCAGCTAACAGTGACACTGTAACAGAAGCTTTGCAAGTCTTCTCGAGTCTTCACTCAATGTTAAAGGTGTTCAAAAAATCTCTTGGAGGTGAGGAAAATAAACAGCAACCCCCAGGACCGCCACCCACAGACTCACTCCCATTTCTTCCGTATTGAAACCGTGATTGAAAACTTCCAAGTTCCATTTAAATCCATAGAATCACGGGATATCCTGGGTTAGAAGGAGGGACCCCACAAGGATCACTGAGTCCAACTCTGCCCTGCACAGGACATCCCAACAATCCCACCATGATCACAAACTGACCTGAGTTTCATTCAAAGCTGATGCTTACCCCTTGTACAGGCAATACAGCTAGCTGCTGGAGTGTCTCATAGTCTGGTCCTGATGTCCTGGACATCAGGAAGAATTCCTTTGCAGTAAGGGTGATCAGACATTGGAACAGGATATCCAGGGAAGTGATGGAGACACCATCCCTGGAGGTGTCCAAGAAACAACTGAACATGGTACTCAATGCTCTAGTGGTGATGGGTCACAGGTTGGACTAAACACTCTTGGAGATCTTTTCCAACCTAAATGATTGTGTCATTCTGATGTCACCAGCATTACTGATGCAACTTGATCACAAACACGCCAGATCACCACCAATGTGGTCTGGGAGCATGTGCACATTGTGAGCACTTGCTACAGGTCACAGAAAGTGTGTAAGACCCTAAGATTGGTCTGGAAGCACCAGGAAGGAGCAGTTTGTGTGCCCCTGAGGACAGCTTTGCCCTGCACATGGTTCACTCAGGGGTGTCTTTAGCACCTCAGTGATTTCAGCTCTCCAGAAAACAAACACTTTACCTGTAGAAAGGTTTCATTTTGAGCCTGATCTCCCAGGCCAAGTGAACCCTGCCAACTGCCTGCCAGCAAAACAAACAGCCAGGACACACCACCCTCCCCTCCTGAGGGCTCTGCAGGCTTAAAATGAAACAAGAAAACCCTACCAAAACATTAGCCAAGCTTTCCAAACGCTGTGGTAGATGGGAACAAGGGCAGCACAAAGCCAGCTGTGTGTCTGGCCTCAAGTTCCAGAGTGCAGGGATCAGCACGACATGGATGCACATGGAGCATATGCTCCATTGTGGTATTGTTGGAGCAAGTCCAAAGGAGGCCACAAAGTTGGTAAGAGAACTGAATCACCTCCCCTAACAGGCCAGGCTGAGAAAGTTGGTGCTGTTCAGCCTGGAGAAGAGAAGGTTGTGTGGAGACCTCAGAGCAACTTTACAGGGTCTGGCTCCAGGGAAGCTGGAGACGGACTCTGTGTAGGGACTGTAGTGATAGGACAAGGAGTAATGAGGATAAATTGAAAGAGGGAAATTTAGATTAGACATTAGGAAGATGGTTTTTTCCTTTGAGGGTGCTAAGACACTGGCACAGGTTGCCCAGGGAGGTTTTGGCTGCCCCAACCCTGGCAGTGTTTAAAGTCAGGTTGGATAAAGCCTTGGTCAACCTGGTCTGGTGGGAGATGTCCCTGCCCAGGGCAGGGGGTTGGGACTAGATGATCTCTAAGGTCCATTCCAACTCCTTAACATTCCATGATTCTATGATTTTAGCTTTTTTGGAAGACAAGCTTTTAGAAAAATCAAGTCATATCAAACCAACTCCAGTCAGCATGAGTGGCTGTTACTTTTCTGTCCCTGAAGGTCAGTTCCTTTGGAGCAAATCAATCTAAGTACAAGTCAAATTTGCTTTGGAGCAAATCAATCTCTAGTCCAAGTGTGGAAACACCCAGCAACCTTCCCATGGCCAGACCTCCTCCCCTCATATTCTAAATTGCATAAAACTAAAAACATGTCAAGATGTTGTAACTACCTAATCCTCATCAGAATCACAAGATAGTATTTGCATCTGGCTCGTGGATCAAAGGATTGTTTTTATATAAACAAATTTAAGGCAGCATTTGCTAAACCGATAATCTCAAGCAAATGGCCAGTGCCAATATAAAACCCCTAATCTCCAGCAGTGACTTGGCAGGGAGCACATGGACACACAGCCACAACGAGCACATTCCCACCACTGGGTTTGCAGCCTGTTCTGGAGGAGGGATGGGATACCTGAGGGCAAAACAAGCTCTGGGCAGGCCAGGTGGGGTGGATGGGTGGTAGATGAGTCATTCTGCAGGTTTTGCCAGACATTGGTGTGAGCAGACTTTGGTGAACACAACTTTGAGGCCACAGAGATGATCCAAGGGCTGAAGCACCTCTGCCAAGGAGTCAGGCTGGGAGAGCTGGGGGTGTCCACCCTGAAGAAGAGAAGGCTCCAGGGAGACCTCAGAGCTCCTTCCAGAGCCTCAAGGGGCTCCAAGAGAGCTGCAGAGGGACTTGGGACAAGGGCCTGGAGGGACAGGACAAGGGGGAATGGCTTCCCACTGCCAGAGGGCAGGGAGAGATGGGATATTGGGAAGGAATTCTTGGCTGTGAGGGTGGTGAGGCGTTCCCCAAGAGCAGCTGTGGCTGCCTCATCCCTGGAAGTGTTCAAGGTCA